TTTTTTTTTTTTTGGGGGGTAAACCTTAAATAGAAAAATTTTAATTGTCTTATACAAATAACACAAAATTATAATGAATAAATATGTGCATGTAATTTTTTATGATAATACTTTTGGTAAATTAATATTTTTCATTAATAATGAAAGAAGAATAATTGATATTATTTTTTTTTTAGGGTACAGTAATTGATTTGAGACTACCATATGTACTTCTTTTGGGTATGATTATATTAGGAGGTTTAAGTTCATCATTTTTACCGGAAACCTTATATAAAAAACTTCCAGAAACACTTGACGATGCGAAAATTTTTGGAAAGAATCAAAAATACTGGTCTTTTTCTTTGGAATAACATTTTACTAAAATACACTAAGGGAGTAAAGTGATGATAAGTTTTTTTACATAACATCAAAGAAATCTTAATTTCAATGAAAAATTATTCGAGTAATGAAAAACTACATGATGAACTTGATATTAGATTTTCATATTCGAAAATAAATTTTACAAAATTTTAAATCGTTCATAATTATTATATTTCCTACAAATTTAAAATTGTAAACTGGTTGTACAATAAAATTTTTATAATACACATATTTTTTTATCGATTTATCTAACTGTTTTAAACTAATAAAACTAATAATTTTTTTTTTTTTAACTGGCTAATCTATTTACAAAAGAAAAAAGAGAAAAATCTTTGGAAAAATACATAAAAAACAAGATGAAAATTTATTTTTATTTAAACTGCATAGTGTAAGATTTAATGAGAGTTGAGAAATGGAAGAATTACTTAAAATAAAAAAAGACTTACTAATTATTTTCTAATCATAGCTTCTAATTTATCCTTTGCTGTGATTAAGCAATAAAGTCCTGATAGAGAAAAACCAACTGCAGCCCCAATCCCACATTTTTTTAAACTAGATGTGGATTTATATAAGAGACCTGTAGCAGTTCCAGCTGCTATTGTATTTAACTCATCATCACTACCTGTAAATAATAAAATCATCAGAAATATTTGAATGTAAAATAATATCATAATCTAATTTTATTGCGAAAATAAAGAAAAAAACCTTACCCCTTAGCCAAGATAAAATAACTCCGAATCCACTATACAAAACTGCAATAGTTCCCAAAGTATTAGCCCTGGCTGCTCCTTGTTTCATTATGTAATTCAACATTTGTGTTCTTCTAAGGGGTCCTGTTTGACCGAGTTTAGTCGTGCTTTTAAGACCATTATAAAAACCGCCTACACCTCCTAGAGCTGCACCTACCATACATGATGCTCCAATCTAAAATGAAATGTCCCAATTATATTGATAAATTTTTCCCATTTAAAACCTTATTTACAGTAAGTTTTTACAAAGTTTCTCCATAAGCAATTCTTTTAATAAATCAATATTTACTAAAAAAGTAAATTTTTTATTAATGGTTTTCCTCATAAATCTTTTATTACATCATTATCACATTACAAAATATTTGTAATAATATTAAGGAAATATAAAGGTATTAATATAACATGAGATTAAAAAGTAAGTTTTATAAAATTTGACAATAAAAGAAAATTTATATTAACTTACTTGTGAAAAAGCCAATTCAAATCTTCCTCGCTGCCTTGAATTTCCATCTAAAAATATAAATTCTGGTTGAGTGGGAGCCAAATAGACCGGATCTATATTAAGGTATGGAGATAATTGTGCTAAATTAGGTTTAGAAGTAACAGGAACATTCATAGTAGGATCTTGATTTGAATAAGTTGAAGAAAATCCTCCATCATCATAAGTCATATTTGTTTATGATTTTAAACACAAAAAAAAAATTAAAAAAAAATATTTTTCGTTTCAATAACTAAATAATATAATGCTTCAAAAGCAAAATAATTTTCTTTTTTTTAAAAAAAATAATTAAGCTGGAATAAATGAAACCAAACCAATAATTTATAAACACAACAAAGCACTTCACAAAATTCTATTAAAACAAAACTACATCTAGCAGACGACACATTCTTCCACGTGCGGTACATCTAAAGTTTCCGACTAAATCGTTTTTTGAAATTATTTTTAACGAATTATTCTAGAAGGCTATTAAAAAAAAAAAAATCCCGCTTTTTATTTCCACACAATTTTTTTTTTTTTTTAAATGTATATCCTTTGAAATTCATATACATACATTTAAACGAATGTTTAAAAAAATAATTATTCTCAAAGGAAACTTTTTTTAAACAAATTTTACTAAAATTTTAAATATATAATTTTATTCATTATTATTATTTTATTATTTATTTAAAATAATTAACTTAATGTAAAAAAAAGTGAGTTTACAGTGCATTTTTATTTTAACGTGT